AACAAGCCGAGATTTCACGATATCATTATGTTATCTTTAATAATATCGCGAATAACAGAATTATCATATGCACTGCGCAGAAGTATTACACCAACATAATATTGTTACCCTCAATTATTTTTGAATCAATATCCCCAAATGTAGTGAATTATTGTAATTTGCTTAGGCAAGTTGAGGATTACTTCTGCGTACATTAAGAAATCGATATATTAAGCACTGCCCGAGAATTTCTATTGATTGAGTTTGTCATTCAGTCTGTGATATTTTCCTGCTGTAATATTCTGAAACAATATTGTTTTTCAGTTGTAATATTTTTTCTTATAATTTTGTGAGGTGATATTTAAAGCTGTGTTATTTTAATAGGTAACCGAGATTTTCGAGGCGAGTGATCTGAAATATGATGTTGAATACGAAAACATGTCTCGCCGCTGCAAGTAGACTCCTACAAACCCAGTGGAGGAGGAGGAGGAGAAGGTGAAAGTGGGGGTGGTGGTGGAAATCTGTACGAAGGGGAATGTAAAGGGAGAATGAGGGATAAAGCAATAGGAGGGGGTGAAGAGTAACCCAATGGGTGGATCTGCAGAGTTGGGAGGCAAAGGGTTGCGTTGGAGGCCCGATCAGTCATTAGACAAGTGGGTATTCACATATATCGAGTTGTAAAATCGATAGGGGTGTCCGTTAGCCACGGGTATCCTCTAAGGAGTGAAAGGCAATGTGAGGGGGTAAAGAAGGGATGGAGATTGTAGTCTACACAACGTATACCGATGCTTCTGGCTAACCCCCTACCCCTTTATAAACCAATACCAATGCAAAATTTTCCCCTTCGATCCCTGCTTTTGTTGCTTCTCAACCCAGTCCGATGCTTCCTCTTCATCTCACCAGCGTGTGCTTGCGCCTTTTCCAAACCATCTATACTTCATCCTGGGATACGTACTGCCGCCGCACGTATCCAGTCCTTGCATATTAATCCTGGCCATAATTTCCACTTCCCAGTTTGGGGCTAACCCTTCGTCGTTTCGTGTTGCGCCTCACTACCATCCAATCGAGAGAGATGGAAAGGTGGGAGAGGAAAAGCCAGGATGATGGTCTAGCTCAGCAATACAAACCCCTTCCTCTAGCGATCGCTCAAGGAACACCCCAACCACGGGGGAGGCTTGATAAAAAAATACCACTACACCCTTATGGAAAATTACACGTGAAATTTTAAGTGAAAGCACTTGACAAAACAGCGACAAAGTGATGGGACATTTTTGGAGAATTCTTCATTAACGAATTAATTCATTAGTTTATGTTGTTCCGGTAATTCTCTATTTTTAGATCCAGGTGACACTGAAAAACTATGGAAATGTTCCAGCAACAATTTCTCGGCGTTTTTAATTTATCGAAAATGCAATTATCATGTAAGATGAAAAATCAGTCCGGTATTCTTTAATTTCTAAGACAAATGAGAAATTTTGGGATTGTTATTAATTGAAGTCAAATTAAAACTCTCATTAATTGTCAAAATGTCAAGAAGTTTTTAAATTCAAAATTAAATTAAATTTTTTAATGTGAAATCTTTTTGCTTTTCCACACATCCACAACATATTAATAAAAAACGCCTATCTTTCCATGGTTGCATAATTTCTAGACTTGAATCCTGTAAATTTCATCCTAACGATTGACTGTCATATTTCCTATTGAATTTTACACCGAAAAAATTATCGTTGTGAAAGTTTATGGAGATTTATTAACTGTTTTTTTTTATGGGTTTTAAAATCCATGGATTACGTTCATATTGATTCAACGGGTCGGTCCTGCTTAATGTTATTAAGGAATAAGGAGGGGGTGTACAAAGGGGGATGGACCCTGGGCTCAGTATATATCTCGGGTTACGCGTGTGCGCGAGGACGGAGATTGATTGTAGCTGGATAACACATCGTGTGTAAGAGAAAATGTGATCAATACACTTATGAGAAAATGAAGGCTAACAAAAAGACCATCGGTCTGTCAGAGAGAGAAGTGGCAACACTCGTCGACCATTGGGAACCATTTTGTGTCAAAATAATATCACTAAGAAATTTTGCAAAGCCGTCCACACGTAATGATGATTCCTCTTTTCATTATTATTTGTCTTTTTTAATTCTCATTTGTTATCGTATATGTTCAACTCTAGTGTCCACACACTCGAGGAGAACAAAAGCACGGGCAATCTGACCGAGGAATACGAGAGACCTCTTTCCATCAATTCAATCCTTCGGTCACTCTAACAAGGGGGTCTTTTCCCATTTTGTCGTATCATATACATCGTAAAAAATGCGCATATAAATAGTGTTTTAAAATCCTTAATTTTTCAATGTGCCGAGAGAGAAGAGATAGAGAATCCCTAATAAGTCAGACATTATCCTTTCAACGTCCGTAGATGCAGAATTTAATATCTACCCCTGATTCTGATAAGTCATTAGCCCCATGCGATATTTCATCCAAAAAACGTACAACCCCAACTACTCCAACTACAGATGATGAGAAATAGGTGAGGGCAGGAGATTTCTCTTTCTCTCTCTTGAGCACTTACCCTTCAATATGGAACATACCTACAAATGCCTATAACCCCTGGAAAACCAAATGCGCCATACTCCAGTATTTCGAGTGGAACGCGAACGCGCGAGAGAAGAGCCGCAACCGAAAACCCGAAACACTCGAGTTCTGAGATCAGCGATTCCCCAGACTCCATTAATCCTTTCGGAAAAGGGTGGACTAAAGCCTTCATCCGGCATGGGGCAACAGGACCATTGCCTCCAAAAACCGATCAAACTCCCCAAAATAAATCGACAAGCGACGATTACCAACAATAATAATAACTCTATCATTAATTGACATACTGACGAGTGACACACTCCCTGAAAATCATCCCTCCGGCACTCAGTTTGAGACTAAACTATCATCCCCCATCCCTTTTAAAAAAAAGCATGTAACGTTTTTTGTTAATATAAAAAAATCGATAAAAGTATCAGTAAAAATCGAAATGAAATTATAAGAAAATTCGAGCTGTCGCGGTATACTGTATTAGAGAGTTCCACATCTCATGATGAAATACATAATTAAGATTTGTTAAAAAATCCAATGATGTATGGTATGAGCTAAGAGTCTGTATCCATCCCCTCCAGTGTTAATTTCAGTATCTGTCCTTCCCTGAGGCACCCCCGCACCCCCAACCCCCTCCCCCTCGTCATGCTAACCCAACCTATCGTCACTAATGACGAACACTATTACGAGGCGATCGCAACTTGGAGAACTTGGCACCCCTTCTCACCTCAGCGTCCTCTTTCGATGAATATAGAGAGGGTGGATAATGCAGGAGGGAGGAAGGGAGGGTAGTTTGGTTTGGAGTCAGAAGCCAACGGGTGAAGGAGTCAGAGGGAATAACGAGGCAGGCGGGAAGGGCCACTGGATTATCGAACGCCGATATATCCTACTTACATTCATGCACGATCAAAAACCGTTCGTTATACCCTACCTATTACAGAATGCGCGGTTATATCGTCAGTGTAACTTATATACGTGAGTAAAGTGTATTCATCCACGTCGAACTTTAACGACCGGGCCACGTACAGTATATTCCGATCAAACCCTCTTGCTTAGTTATATACCATTATACTATCGATTTCGAATTATTTTGTTGTCTCATTAATGATTTAAAAAAAGGATAAAGCTATTCATGAGTCAAATCTATTTAACCATTCAATCTATGTAAACTCATCAAACCACTTGATTATATCAAGATTATATGAAGATTTTATTAAGATAATATATAGATTATATGGAGATTATGTGGAGAATAGAGGGATTTTAATTGGAAATAATAACGGCTTTGCAATTGCTGGTGAATTCTATTGGTTACTCTTGATATCCCATCCCCAATGAGCCCTATTACTCCTTAAAGCCAGAATCGCTTGAACCAATGGGTCAACAAGACAATACCATCGACAGTATCATTTACCCCCGTTAAGATCGTGTGCTGAGTAACCTGGAAGGGTTGTATTCCAGCTGCATCGTGCCAAAATCCATCACCCAAATACACCACCTATTTAATGCTATTGCATGTACTCCACCCTTCCAGTAACTCTTCAACTCTTACTTCTCAATATGGCAAATGCATTAGTCGATAGGAAAGATGTGTGTGTACACACTTTCAATGACAACTCCAATGAGAACCAATACAGGTTCTCAAGTGCATTGCATTCAACCATTGGAATCATCAAGGGTGCAATCATTGTGTTCAATTCTGAGGGATTGACACCCTTTTCACTTCAACCTGTCCTCTCCTCCCTCTGACATCAGTCCAATAATGTTTCTCCCCTGAGAGTCATTGCCACCAGCTTCAATCTCGACTCTGGTGTCATCAGTAATCATCAGGGGTAAAATGATAAAAATATATTGAACAGCTATTAGCATTCGATTAAAAGTGGTTATTATTTTATTTTTCACTTCTGGCATTTGAAATCATCGACATCGATTTGGTCGTTTTATTAATAAACCACCGCGTATACGACGTGGCGCGTCGATCAAAGAGCACGCTAGGTCTGCGTATTAAGGAGGGGAATTGTAAAAGTTCGATCGTACATAGTCCCCGTTTCCACCGAGGGGCCAATCATCAATCGATTTTTCGTTTCCCACTCGTTGACAACGTTTATATTAAAACCACTGTATTAAGTATTTCACTTGGATCGAAACAATGCTTGAAATTTTTGGCCGTTGAGGTCTTTATTTCACCAAGGGTAATTCTGCATATTATACTGGGGCCAGTGGACAAATATATCGTCAATCAATTAACCAAATAGTACAGTTAGCTTCTTATGTCGTTGAACCGTTGAATATTGAAAGAGGATATTAAAAGAGATTATTTAAAATATAGAAATAATCCAATTTCCGATGAACTCCGATGGTATTAATGTTTCTTTTATTATTGATTTAACTCTCATCCGCTGGTTATTAATTCATCATCTTTTTTTGTGGTTTAGATTAATCAACTGGTCGAGGAGGTATCGAGGTTACAGCAGAGTCTTCAACGGCTCCAGGAGACCAGTGCACAGGCAACGGCGAGACTCGAGGAGGAACTTGATAGCAGAAGACAGCATATAGTGAGATTGGAGAGCAAGTTGGAGAGACAACGGGACTATGATGAGCTTAAGAGGGAAATAAGTGTATTGAGATCGGTGGATTTATCGCAAATACCCACTGGTGAGCCTGGTAAGAGCCTTGAGCATCTGTTGATGGAAAGAACGAAGGCTCTACAGCAGGCTGAGACCTTGAAGCCACCTAGCACACCTGATGCACTTGGTAAGTTCAATTTTTTTTTATTATTACCGGAATTCATAATCCTCATCATCATCTATCGACTCATATTCATTAATTCTAACACAGAAGTGTGAATCAATGAATTGATCAGTCAATCAATTTTGCTAATCGAAACTCAATCAAACTTCAATTTTACTTGACTCGTGGATGAGAAACTTATGAATGTAGGGAGAGAAGAAACGAGAGAGACGAGAAATCAGGGGAGTTATGATGACAAATTGACGATTTTGGTAGAATAAGTCACTGATGAAAATTAACAAATTCATCATTTGTTTATTAATTTATGATTGCTACTCATTACTACCTCTGTATGCTGCTGCTCTTCGGTCCTGACTCTCTTTCCAAGGCTCCGTTAATGATAGGCCTCAGAATAGTGCGGGGAAAATTATAGTATTATTATCACAATAATTTATCCTCATCGCAGTTGAATCATGAGATAATTCATGCTGAGTGAATACGTGACGCTTTCCCAAATTAAAAGTAACCCAGCATCTGCCTTTTTATTATTTTCAGTTTCTCTGATTATTCACTCCGTCACTAACAGGTCATTCTGTTTTCCAACTAACTTCTTCATGTTCATCCTCGCAACTATCCTCATACCTGATATATCTTGTAATTAAAGTGGAAAATCTTCTCACTCACTCACAATCATCTCTGAGTATCTTCATATCTATCTTTTGCCTCATATTGTCTATCTGCTTAGGCTGCACTTTTCATTATTATTTTTTCTCCAATAAACGGCTCACTCTTCAGCATAAGAGCTTCGCGTATTGCATTTGCATTGGAAAACAAAAACCTGCAGAGATACTAACGCAATACGTTTCGCGAAATCTCTGAATATAAAACAGTATTCTCCCCCTGAGACAAAAAAAAACCACATCCCAATACCTTTTACATTCCTGTGTGCGTCCGTCCAAAATTTGTGCACGAAATCTCTTCGCAATATTTACGTTCCTCTACCAAAAGCCCCGTAACCCGAGTGCCCCCCCCCCCTACACCCCTCCATTGTTCCGTATGTACCGAGTTTATTATGAATCGATCCAAGAGACAAACTCACTCTCCGATGAGATACTGCAACGTCACCCCCATTACTGGAGTCTAAAACAACCGCTATTATCTCCCAAAAATCCGTGTGAGAGGCACGGGTTTCCGTACTTCACTTCTCTGGATATTCTCAAATCCTCCAGACTTCCGAAATTCCAGTCAATCCGAATCTTTCGGTTAAACTCTCAAAATGATTATTTGTTTTTTTTTCCAAATCATCAATCCAGTTATGTGCCTATTTACTTGCAATTTCTTCAAATTATAAATCCTGTGCCCACTCTTACTTCTCAATTAATGTATTCCTCTTCTTCTTCTTGCGTACGCATGTGCGTATGTCGAGGATGGAGCGTCGGAGGAGAGTCTGGGACCCCGTGAATAGGCCCTGTAAATTTATCATTGTTTGATTTAAAAAATTGAAAAAAAAAGAAAAAAAAAGAAAAAAAACTAGAACACTTGAGCATTTTAAAAAATTCGATGTAATTCCCCTAAAAGAAAAAGAAAAAGTGTATTGACATCTAGAAAGAAATCAGATGAAAGATATTCAGTGATGAAACGGGGTCCCGTTTTTGTTTTGGTGGTTCCAGGTGGACTAGCCTCACCACTGCAGCGCGCTGCAACCGCCTCGCCCCATGGCAGTGGCGGTGGTGTTGGCAGCGGGAGTACACCCGTTACCCTCGTGTCCACCCAACAGGTGCTCCCAACGCGCTCCACCCCAACACCCTCATCGGCCACATCAACGGCCGCCTCGGGTCTCCTATTCCCGCCTCCTCTTCAAAATGTCGAAACATTTGGCTCATTCCTTGGTGAAGAGATAGTTGCCAACTGGAGGCGGTCCCTGGAGAGATCAATAATGAGCCAACAGCAGCAGCAGCAGCAGCAACAGCAACAACAACAACAACAGCAACAGCAACAAACATCACAATCGTCAATCGTCCAATCACAACAAACCCAATTGCCCCAACTGTCCCAGCAGAATACCCAATCACCGGTACAAACTGGACAGCAACACACGTCGCTGTATCCATCAACAACACCAAACCTAAATCACCTTCCATCACCAACAGATCCAGCATCATCGTCGAATAATGGTCTGAGTGGAGCAGTGAAATCGAGTACACCACTTGGTAGCCTGGAGAACATCACTGAGAAAGCACCAACGCCGATACCTGGCCACGAGACACCAGCACCACCAAGACCCTCGTCAACGGCTGCGCTGACATCACCATCAGCTAGTCTTCAGCCACCAGCTAGCTTGATCGAAGCTGCCATGAATGGTGCAAGCATGCCTGGACCCATACCACCAAAGAGCCCACACGAAGAGTCATGTCACAATAACAACAATAGTCATCATCTTGCTAACAATAATAACAACAGCATCGGTAGTCTGAGTGTTTTGGACAGTCTCAAGAGTCCATTTCGCTTCGACGACAGAACCCATCCGTTCCGATTTTGCGATGAATTTGGGGCTGCAGGAATGGCTGGCAGACTCGGTGAATCACTCATACCCAAGGGCGATCCCATGGAAGCACGTCTACAAGATATGCTACGCTACAATATGGATAAATATGCATCACAGAATCTTGATACACTTCACATAGCAAGACGTGTTAGAGAACTACTGTCTATCCACAACATTGGACAACGTCTGTTTGCTAAATACGTTCTTGGACTCAGTCAGGGAACTGTCAGTGAACTATTGAGTAAACCAAAACCATGGGACAAACTAACTGAGAAGGGACGTGACAGCTACAGAAAGATGCACGGATGGGCCTGCGACGAGAATGCCGTATTACTGCTCAAATCTCTCATACCGAAGAAAGGTGAGTGATCGTCTCTTTTACCAAAAACCAAAAACCAAAAACCAAAAAAAAAAAAAAAACAAGGAAAATCGGGCAGGTCTCGCAATACCTCATGGTCTGAATGACCATCATTATCTTCTTTACTGCGTCGATGAATACCTTTTTGTATGATGTGTTTATATAACCGTTGACCTTGGGTGATCCTAGTTAATCGGTAAATAGTGGATGCCCGTATGATCACTAAATGTTTTATAACTTTTGATTACACACTCCCTCAAAAATTCTCTCCTGCCTCTCGCACTGCCAAATTAATATTTTCAATCATTACTCTTAACACTAACACTAATTACCTATCGTTAATTTAACCTAATCAACTTATCACCTGATATCAACAGATTTTTACGACATTTGGTTGAAGTGAAGATGATGCGTAGTGATGGGGGCGGGACAGAGAAATTTAGATACTAAATACCATGATCAGGACAAGAGTAGCTCGACGTGAAATGCTATTTACTACAGTGGTAATATTAAATTGTCAATAGAATTGCGTGTGTGTGTGGGGGGTGAGTGATCTTTTCGATATTTCTTGTATGATGTACAGCTACACCCAGACCTATCACCATCATATAATCTCGCGAATGATATTAATTACCTTGATTAAATTACACAGTTGCATGGTCTACCTGGGTGATATCGATTGTTCGCTGCGTTTGGCAGCCATATTGTTTAGACTAATAGCTCCTGGGAATAGGAGCTGATAGGGAAATAGAACAGAAGGGATGGGGATGAAGGGGGCAAGTTAAAAAGGAGATGGAAGGTATATTGCCCCGCACCGCTTCGGCAATCTCTAGATACCTGAGATCAGGTGGGAGAGATGGAATGTGAGAAATGTGATCCATTGTAGCATTAATCAAGCTGAATATATTGACAGACTATTTTGGTTAAATTATTCGACAAATTTTCGTCTCAAGAATTCAATTAGTTGTGACAATTTTATATAATCCCGCTTCACAGGACTTTGACCCCTCGCTTCCCCTACAACACCCGGGACATTCCAATACAAAAACACTCCGTCATGAATAGTTGATTGATTATGATTACTCGAAATTATGCATTGTAACTATAAATTGGGATTATAATCCCCTCCATGACCGGAAACCCACAATCAATTATATGAAAGAATCGGTCGGACAAAAAAAAGAATCGTCCAATCGAAAATTAGACATCATCGACTCGTCTCCGCTCTGCAACCATTAAATTAATAATAATGATTGGTATGACTCAGTTTTTTTTTTTTTCAACGGATTGCCTGAAGTATTGATATAAAGTCGAGAAGGACACCTGTGGCTTTTAAGTCAGCCATTGTCATAACGCACATGTCCTCGATGCTGCGTCCGGTTACCTGTCGAATAATGACTTCGAAAATGAAGTATACGTATGTGAAATATTGAGGTAATTTCAGTTGTTCGAAAAAATTGAGAAAAAAAAAGCCGTGCAGGCCGTCGTGCGTCAATGGATTGTCGGTTTCCGTCGGGTTTAAAGGCGTAGAGCGATAATCATTAGCTGGCGATTCGTCGGAGCGTGATGAAAAATTATTTTTCGGATTTTTTGGATATTATCAGCGTGTGGGAAAAATTTCAATCGTCCAGAGACAAGGACAGATGAATTAAAAATATTTTATGAGAACGATAAATTGATGTTTCGCCTTGACAGACCAGTGGTCTTGATTGTCGAAGAATTAAACAAACATGATGGTCGGCCTGCGAGGAGGAAACGAGATGTGTCCATCGGACGAGGTCTGATTCACATTAATTACTTCTGAATTAAACGATGAGGGTAATTAAAATTTCCTCGCCAAGTACTCGCCGAATGATTTTAATTCTCTATTTATTTTAATTGTTAATTGATTTAAAAAATCATCGAAATAAATCGGCCAGTCCGGTTTCGCCATGTTCCATCATTTTTCCTTAATTATTTATTAGCCGTAAGAGAGTGGTATGATGAAGAAAAGTATATTCGAGTTTCTCGACATTTTTCACCTTATTCAGTTGAATACCGCAAGAGTTCTCGATTTCCAATTCTTAATTATAACCGAGCGACACAATTCACGCGTAATTACCACACTTGAGAATCAAGCGAGTACACAGTATTATCGGCCACTGCAAATGAGTTTCATTCATTAGGTGAAAAATACCTCAAGACGATTTTTTTCTTCCCCACCGATTTTATCGTTCATTCCGTGGGTATTTTCTTTTCGACTTGCAGCAAACTCACACGTTCTTTATGCTCTATCGTTCATCTACATTAGATTAGGTATGTACATAATAGGTGTTTCTGCGGTTCAACCGTGCGGATATACAGCACGGTGGTTGCACGAAAGCATCAAGTGTAGTCAACAATATCATGATTTCTCAATAATATTCATTTTTTCTTAATCCATCATTTATTTATACTTTGAACTAACTTTTTTAGCAGTGCAGTACATCTCAGAGAAATATCCGCAAGTCTATTTAAAATCTTTCATTGTTTTTTTTTTTAAATAAAAAATAAAACTAGTGTAAATGAGAATTTGAATTTGATTTGAAATATATTATTAATGTAAGGAATGGGAGTGATTTGGAGAATAACTAAAATTAGTCATGAGGAGAAATAAAAAATTGAAGAGTGAAACGTGAAAAATAAAGTAATGGTCGATCGTGATGGAAGAATGCATATGGTGTACCTCGTTAGCGAATTGCTGAAGAACCGATATATCGCGTTTTTGCAGTGGAAAGAACAAGAACATATCTTCGGATGTATGCGACGGGTTACGTGTGCTCGTCCAACGTATTTCCCTCTCTAATTTTCCATTTTTGCTCCAATTCTCTGGCATTAGCAGTGACATCCGATACATTTACGATAAATCCTCCACGGGGAGAAGATGGCAGAGATTCCTAACCGTCGATCCGCACAAAAATTCCATGAATTTCTTTTTCGTATCTAAAATTGAGTGACTGGCATTAGCTAGGTACATGCTATCGAGTTTAAATCTATGGAGAAATCGAATGTCGATAAAACTGCGGTGAAATGAATTTTGCCGGAAGCATATTTAATAATGAAATGATTTTTTTAAATATCCTTGAATTTTTTTCTGGTATTTCCTTCATTTATAGAAAGATATACTCGACGTTAAACATACAATTCATTAAGAACTCAATCAGAAAATAATCGCTGCATAATTTAAACAATCATAAAACTTTGAAAAAAAGGCAGGAAAATTTTTCCACGATCATGATATTTTGGGAGTCTGAAAACTAAAAAAAAAAAAAAACGGTAATACATCTAGATTTTTTATTTGCAATGAAAAAATAGCCTGACAATAGAACTAATCAATCATCGAAAACAATCGTGTCTAAAAACCATGATCCTCCACTGGAGTAGCGTCGACAATTGCACTCAGTACTCATCACCGTAGCGGTAGCAATCAAAGAGCAAAAACCATCGATGGCTGATTCATCCGAATCTTGCGCGGCGTGATTGGTCAATTAGACGGGAAACACGTAGGAGAACTCTTCGGTACTTGTGTGAGACACCGAGAATAATCTCAAACTCCCCTCTCTCTCCATCTCTTTGCCGAATTGATGCAGGGGTGAAATATCTCCAAAGAGGATATTTTAATTATTGTCACCCCAATTGCACTCTTACCCTCTACCCTCTCCCCTCGGCAATTTACTCGATTTACAATCGATTGAGGATTTATTTCAGAATTATCAATAACCAGACCTTCTTGAAACCAATACAGACTCCAATAATAACTTTTAATAATAATTATCGATTTATTTTTGAGAAATTAAATGAATAGATTCACTCAGACTCATTTCCGACGTCAGTAACGGACAAACAAATCAATTTGTTTATACAAACATGCGCTATTTGATTTTATTATTTATAATCAAACAATTCCGATCTACATTTTGGTCGGTTATTTCGGAAATCACTGATGAGTTCACGGGAAATATTCTTAAAGTTAACGAGGGAACCGACCGTTGGAATTATCGGGCAGAACGACATAATTCATTTCTCGGTAAACTCGTGATGCCCAACCCGTGGATTAGATTGAATCTGTACATGTTAGAGTGCAAAGAACAAGGAAGGAGGATCTTAGGAAGGAAAAAAAAACGAAGAATAAGAGCGGCGACTTTGAAATGGACATGTCGTTTTATACAGTGTGTGCTATTGTCGTATGAAAGATGCGGTGGTGTGAGAGCAAGAGGTGGCAAGATTGCTTTTTCTATTTTCTTCTTTTGTTTTCCTTTTTTTTTCTTTCTTTTTTTCTTTCTTTTTTTGAGAAACGAACAAAGGAATCATTGCGTGCAGTGGGCGGTGACGATGCGCGCGGGAGTTCGTCACGACATGCGACAGAGAAATTTTAACGATAAGTAGCGGACGAAAGTGACTCTCTCCTTCGTCTTCTAACTTTTAGGCAAACACTGAACAATGTTACTGATTGATTTCCCATGGCAAGATTTACTCGGTAAATTATTGAGAACTTATGGTCGTGCGTGAAAATCTATTAATTCTGGATGAATCCTGGGATTAGCTCGCTAATATTTTTTTCAAACGAAAACATGTCGACGGGATTCGCGAAAAAAATCAGCGGCGAAAGGGCAACCAGGTGTGCGTCAGCTTAACTCTTCGGTGAGTTTATCAGGAATATCTCCGAAACTAGCGGGGATAGCGATTTTTGTTCGATTCTCTTTTCTGTTGATTCGAGTAAGCTCTATGAAAAAGGTCATAATCAAGATTTCCCTATCTCCGTACATTATTCGAGATTTCAATTGAAAACAGGGCAATTGCCAAGATAATCTTAAATCGGTATGTCGTATTTTTTACCTCAATCTTCTCTGCCTGATTCTGGAAATTTTGATGGTAATGCAATTACCTGGAGATTTCAGGAGATTTTATCATTGAAAATTCAGAATTTCGTAAGTGTAGAAAGGGGGAATCTCCGTGAGGCTTTTCCTTGAAAATGAGTAGAAGACCATAAAAATCCTGAAAATCGGAAGTTCATGAAATTTCACGTTTTTTTTAAAGAGTATAGTGTAGTTGTAATAAATGTTATAAATAGAAAAACCGAGTAAGAACACACCACAAGTTGTGCCTCACCCGTAGAGTATGTTTCAGGCAAGGAGCAGGGTATGCCAACGTTCGGCCGCCCACAGGAGGGCGGACCACCTGACATGAACGACGAGAGAATTGCCCACATGCTCTCGGAATCTGGACACCTGCAGATGAGTCGTGCCAGTGAACACGACACATCCAACGACGCTGACAGTAAGAGTCCGAGCAGACTGGGATGTCCGAGCCCATTCGGCAAAGACAGGTACGACAGTCAGAACAGGAGGTTGAAGAAGTACGAGAACGATGACATTCCCCAGGAGAAGGTTGTTAGAATTTACCACGAGGAGCTTGCCAAATTGATGGGAAGGAGAACCGATGATTTGCGCGGACCAAGAGATTTTCCTCCAAGGTGAATATCAAACTAACGAATTAAAGACTGCATGACACAAAAACTGTGCTGCACTTCGAGAATGATAAAATATTGACTTCGTACTTTCTTTTATGTTTGAATTCTTTACAATAAATTACTACACTGATCAATATGAATTAAGGACAGCACATAACGTTGATTGATCGTAGCGCGATGTTTCCCCATTTTTTCAGTGGAGCCCAGGGTATCCAGGGAATGGAGCGCACCCAGGAAGAGATCAGACTGACTCTGGACGCCTACCACAGAGAATTCCAAAAGTTGAATTCAGCATCAGGTGGAAATGCGGCATTAGCGAGCCTCTCGGGTCTACCAAGTCTACCAAGCCTGATAGCCCTTCACCAGCAGGCCCTCCACCAAAATCATCTAGCAGCCAATGGGACTGGTGTTGGTGTGCAGGATCTCAGTCTGGGGAAAGTCGATCCACGTAGTAAAATAATGAATGGGGTTTCCGAGGAGGATAAAGAGAAAATGGAAGAGGCAATGAGACACGCTGGCAGTGCATTTTCCCTCGTAAGGCCAAAACAAGAGCCAACGGGTGCACAATCTACCCCAGGTGGATCCAGTGCTAGTTCACCACTTGGTAATTCAATATTACCACCTGCCATGACACCTAACGAGGAATTTTCTGGTGCTGCTGCAGCAAGTCCACTACAGAGAATGGCATCAATCACAAATAGTTTGATTAGCCAACCGTCCACACCGACCCACCACTCAGCAAATCAACGACCCCTCAAAGCCGTTCTACCGCCAATAACTCAACAACAATTTGATCTTTATAATAATCTCAACACTGAAGATATTGTAAAGAGGGTAAGTCGAGTTGTAAGTCGTCAAACTTCGAACTTTTCTATTCATTAATCCCCTTAAATAATTAATAGCTATTTTCTATCATTCGTTGCAGGTAAAGGAACAACTGTCACAGTATTCAATCTCTCAGAGGCTCTTTGGCGAGTCGGTTCTTGGGCTCTCACAGGGCTCAGTATCTGATCTCCTAGCTCGTCCCAAACCCTGGCACATGCTCACCCAGAAGGGGCGAGAACCATTTATCAGGATGAAGATGTTCCTCGAGGATGAACAGGCTGTGCACAAACTCGTTGCTAGCCAATATAAAATTGCTCCAGAGAAGCTCATGAGGACCGGCGGCTACGGCGGCCTGCCTCGTAAGTTTAACTCAGGTCAATATAGATGTTTTGTTATTTTATTAATTGTAGTTTGAAAGCTCGCTTACATCATGAATTTTTTTTCGTAATCCTTGGAGTCGTAGAGAATTATGCTATTGATTTTTCCGCGTGTTGAGTGGATAGTAGACTTCGTCAAAAATTTGCGATACTTTTTTTTCACCTCGTACTCGCGAACAGCATACACTATAGACTCAACATTCATATCTCTTCGTCGGCTCATCGAGCGATTTTTTTTTCACGCTGCTCATTGAGAAAATCGTTTTCTTATTGAACTTAAATTTTTATTAATCTTTAATTTTAAACTAAAGTCACAAGTAATATGGCGGACAAAAAAAAATTCCATTGTTCTTGGGGAAAAACTAAGTTACGCCTTTCATCGCTAATAATAAGTTCAAAGGCGAGTACAGCGGTAGCCTAGTCCCTTTTAAAAAAAAGCATGTAACGTTTTTTGTCAGCTTTTTTTGGCGCTATGCATATCAAATTATATCTATATAATATGATATATATATATATAATACATATATATATAAATAATATATATAATATATAATATATATAATTATATATATATATATTAATTTTTTTTATATAATAATATTTAATATTTTTATTTTATTATATTGGAAATAATCGTGGATATAAATATATATACTCCAATGATAACACCCCATACGTGGACGATTTGGCGCGCATAGCGCGCCATATACGCTAGTGCTTACCAAATTATTCACCAGAACAGAGAAAAAGACGAGAAAAAGACGAGAGTTCAAATTTCTCAATGAAAAAACATTGGACAAAGGAAAAACATTGCTCCATCACCCGATTGATAGATATGAATGTTGAGTCTATAACATACACTTTTCGAGGGTGCGAGGTGAAAAAAAAGTATCGTAAAAGTATAAAAGTATTTAAAAAAAAGATAATACGACGAAGAGGATTAACTTTAATTACCATGGCCCTTCTTTTTATTTTTGCTGGTTCACGTTAGTCATTGATTAATTTGTCCAGCAGATGGATTTTTAAAATGCCTTTTCCTTCTTTTATACAATTAATTATGAATTCAATGCAATTTATTTCTAGCAACATCAGAATAGCGAAAATGTACCTAATTTAAAAGATTTGATGTAACGGAACTGCTTTTATAGCGAAAAAAATCCCGAATTGGACAAAGAATCAATAGATATGTAACGATTTCCTTCGCTTGGTAAAGAGCCAAGAAGAGCGTTCAAACTATACAGATTCCCACTCCCTCAGAATGGAGAGAAATTGAATGAAAAATTTTGATTTATAGCTTGTGGGACTCCAATGAAGCCAATGCCTCCCACAAAACTCGTCCAGGAGCAGCTTCAGAATGCCGCAAAGGCCCAAGCCGCGGCACAAGCGGCAGCGGCAGCAGCTGCGCAGCATCAAGAGCACCAAATGCAATTGGGCCCACCATCAGGTCCACAGCATGGCACTCATCCTGCTCCACCGGCTCCAATGATGCTGACCCCACCGGGACCACATCATGGAACAACTCACGGTGGTCAACTATCCATCCAAGAGCTCCAGAAAAAGCAGCACCAACAGCAGCAGCAAATGGGTCTCCACTCACCTCACCAAATGACACCCTCACCCTTGCGCATTCTCCACTCTCATGTTTCCCCAAGTGTCTATGAGCTAGCGGCATTGACGCAGGATCTGGACACACAGACAATCACAACGAAAATCAAGGAAGCCTTATTAGCGAATAATATTGGCCAAAAGATATTCGGTGAAGCTGTTCTGGGTCTTTCCCAGGGTTCAGTGAGCGAACTCCTGAGTAAACCAAAGCCTTGGCACATGTTGAGTATCAAAGGTAGAGAACCCTTCATTAGAATGCAACTATGGCTTACAGACGCTCACAATATCGACAGGCTTCAAGCCCTGAAGAACGAGAGGCGTGAGGCGAATAAAAGACGTCGTAGCAGTGGTCCAGGTCATGACAACAGTTCAGATACATCGAGCAATGACACTGCGGACTTCTACCACGCGTCAGGCTCTCCCGGGCCGGGTCCTCCCTCCGCCAAAAAGCAGAGGGTCCTTTTCTCTGAAGAACAGAAAGAAGCATTGAGACTGGCATTTGCCCTAGATCCCTATCCAAATGTAGCGACCATTGAATTTCTCGCTGGTGAACTTGCGTTATCATCAAGAACAATAACCAATTGGTTCCACAATCATCGAATGAGGCTAAAACAACAAACACCTCATGGACAGCCAGAGCCACAATCACCTAGAGAACCTGCACAGCCGTTTGATCCAGTACAATTTAGACTGCTGTTGAACCAAAGACTGCTTGAGATACAGAAGGAGAGATTGGGACTGGGTAATGTACCAATTCCGTACTCACCGTACTTCAATCCAAATCTCGCGACGTTGATGAGTAATGCTCTGAAGGAGCAGTGCTCAGGGCTCGATCTCTCGATGGGATCGTTGAAGAGAGAGCCTAATCCGGAGTTTGAGGATGACGATGGGGATGATGCGATGAGTAATCTTGGGAGTGAGGATTCTGATGGCTCGGCATCGAGTATAAAACGTGAGCCCAATGATCACAATCAAACTCAGCCAACTGCTGCTACCTCGGTGAGATCCAATAGGAGAAAACCAGCTGCACCACAGTGGGTGAATCCAGAGTGGCAAGAGCCAGCAAGAACCGGTGATGAAGTTATTATTAACGGTGTTTGTGTTATGCAGACTGATGATTACGGTGTTAAGAGGGAGACTGAAGAGACGATAAGAGTTGAACCAACACCAGTCCAGGACAGATACGATGATGATGGACAGAGTGATGTTTCATCGGTATCCGGGAATAATGGGCAGGATCGTGATAGTCCGATGCCAAGTCCAAAATCAGCTCAAAATAGTCCAATTACCTCACCAAGACCACCGTCGCAACAAAATCCACAGGATAATGGGGAGAGTCCAAAGGAAATTGTTAAACACGAACCTGAAGAAACGTGGGATTACTAAACGAGTATTTTTCTCTTCTTTTCGTTGACACATTGTTTTATTATTTTCGATTTCTCGAGTAATCGTTTTTCGTAATTCAATGCAAGTGGTTCGTCTGGCCAAACTGACGTTGTTCTGCTTAAATGAAGTAAACATAAAGTGATCTTAAAGAGAAAATTTATCTAGGACAGATGACAGAATGGTGGAGAATGTTAGTTATTTAACGTAAGTTATAGATACAAGTGTAGATTTTTAGGTTTCTAGGGAGACTAAGCCAAGCGATAGGATTCGATAACTTCAATAGTATAAATACCGAGTCCTGCCTATCAAATTGGGCATTATATCGAAGTTTAACGAAAATGTGTGGTGAACGACTGAATCACGAATAAACGGTGTATCATTTATTTGTTTATTTCATTTTATTCTTTTCGTTTGTGGATTCGTTTCCATTTTTATGAGGAAATGACGACTGCAACTTTGATAATGTTTTAGAAATGGGAGTAAAATCAAAAGGTCTCTTTGTAGAATGAAAATTAATAAGACAAAATGAAAAAATCCACAGATGAGCGTCGAACAAAAGAAATGTATACTAAACTCGTACATATATATAGTATATCGAATATGTAAATTATTTAGTATCAGTGTGCGTGAGAATGATATCAATCTTACATTACACGTTTTTGAATGATTGATGAGGAAAATCATTGACCATATTTGTTCTGTGAACGTTTTAGGTCGAAAAAATTCGAAAAAACAAAATTAAAAACAGTTATAAAAAATATTGACAAACCGTATCACGAGGTAAATTTATCTTTTTTCACAAAAACGGTTTCGACTAAAAGTGCAATCTCTCCCTACATTCCCCCCACCCCCACGTCCCCCCTTAACTAAACGAACTCTCGATTAATTTCTAATCAAAAGAGGAAATTAGTGGAATAACACTGAATAATTTGTGCATACAGAAAATTCAGTGGAAATTAGTCCTAAAAAAAAAATATCTCGAACGGATAAATTACATAATCATCGTGATTCATGTGCTGTCATTCGTATTTCCCTCCCCCTTTCAACTCCTCTCCCCTATTTATAGATAATTAACCTGTTGATGTTATTTTTATTATTTCTTTCCCACTCGAGTGTTTTTTACTTTCATGTCCATCTCTTACTTTTTTCCTATAATTTTCTTGTTATTTTGTTGCGAACGAGTGTTCACTCGGCGTTGAACATAAAGTCAACAGAAATATAGAGAATGAAGAATGGAGAATGAGAGATTTGTGACGGAAATGAAAAGCAAAATGGCGAAACGAACAAAAATGTAGAAAAATACTTAAGGCCGTTACCAATGTTATTATTATCTTTTCTATTATAAATCATTAATTATTACGATTATTGATGAGTTGTGGAGAAAAATTTATGATAATGATGATAATCTTCATTTTTTTTTCTCTTAGTTATCAAGATATTTCATCGATTGAAATTTTCTGTAATTATTATTACGATTCATTGATGATCAATCTTGAGAGTACGTAGCCAAAAAAAAAAATCATGGAAAATGGGGAAAAGTACTATAAATAAGCGAACAAAAGAAGGAAAGATGATCTTATTGGTAGATCGTGAGAATTTTATGTATATATATATTCTTCTCCTTCTCTTTTTTATATTAAAAAATATCACAACAGCGAAGGTTCCTCCGATGCTGTTTAAATAAATTATTTTGTAACATTACCAATTCAATGGTAAATGTAGGCTTTATTATTTTATTCATTATTATTATTAATATTATTATTATCATTATTGTACTATTACGTTTTTCATTACGGTCTATTATTAATTATTATTATCAATTTATCATTTTTTTATAATTATATAATTATCATTAAACTATTAATTATGACTATTCTACAAATCCAAAACGGCTTGTGAAGCCAATGTGATAGAGCTTATGTGCGACGTGAGAAAAAGAAAATGAGAGAAAGAGAGAGAGAGAATCCCTGGGAATTTACCCATATCCCAAAAAATGAACAAAAAGTGAAGAGAAAAAAAAACCAGTGTATATGCGGGCTGAGAAAGAATGAAATTTATAAAATTAAATTAAAAAATCGTAATACGTAATTTCTCAACTCGCATCCGATGTAAATAAAATATTGTATGTATAAAAAAGGAAGTAAAAAATGAATCGAAAAAAATGAGAACAAATTTGGAAGATAATTCTCTGATCAAATATATTATACCCACACGATTATTAATACGACAACAAAACTTGTATTATACTATATTTACTTATCAGTCACAGTTAGCAATTATTGGATAGGTATTCCTACCGATTTGAAATTTAAATAACAATTTTAAATGATACAACTATTGCATAATGGCCACAACAAAGGAAAATCGAGAATCATGTTTTATCAACAAAAAATATAGAATGAAAGTGATTAAAGGATTGCACCGAAAAATGATAAGCCATCGGGAAAAAGATCAAATTTTGGATAACAAATATCGAAAAATTATTCTCGATATTGTGAATCAATCTAAATATTAATCAGATGACCTAATCTTCATAATTAAATTCTAGTCTTCGATTCATAACAGAAGAAACTCATTAACTCATTCGAGTTGTGTTTTTCAAATGTTTTCGGATTAAAAATGAAAAACCAGTACTGAACAAAAGGGGCATTGCGAACGGAAGACCAGTGAAAAATTTTCCTTCGTCTTTTCTTTTTTTCCTTTTTCTTTTTTTCCTTCTTTTTCCATGTAAATAAAAAATATCTTATATGATAATTATTGAAATGCAGATGTCTCGCTTCAGCGGTTGTATAAAGAATTAATGGAGATTATTGAAAGCGAGAGAAACGTATCAATAGGGTTTTGCAACATCGAACTGCCAGAGTTATTGGTGGGCAGCCCCATGAATTAAAAGCTATTAATTTCCTTCCGTCAAAACCATCAGACTAAATGGCGAATAATAATTTTTAACACTCATCAATTTTAAGAACAGTACACGATCTCAGATACAATATTTTCAATAGCCTATTGGCATGAAAGGCAACATACATTTTGGACTTTTTAAATTCACCGGACTTTCTTGCTTTTAACTCGCAATTAAATAAAAAAAAAACATTGATGCCACGTCTTGGGGAAATAAACCTTTCGAATAAAAATTAAGTCAATCAATGTTTACTAATTGACGTGGCAGAGGCCAAATAAATTTATGAGAAAACAAACAAGTATTGTACATCATTCATTTGCATCATCGAATCCAAGCATAAATTAGCATCTTGTAGATATTGAATAGATGAAATAGCTATACGATAGCTTTAATTATTTAATTAAAAATATCGCGTGTAACCAAGACGATAGGTGAATCGGTAAAGAGAATGGATAAATGATTAAATCAAATTGAATGAAGAGTAATTGAATGGCTGAATGGATGTGTGAGAAAACAACTGTAATATAATATAATAATGATGAATGATTACTGATTACTACAACTAGTTTAGTTTTTCCGCGAATACGTGTTTAAAACCCCCCGTGTTATCGACGAAAATGAATGTGAGGAGGAAAGAAATCATATCGTAAACATAATGAATATTTTACAAATAAATGTAGATAGACATTCAGAATTTTTCGAACGAAAACACAATGGAAAGACGAAAAAAAAATCACCTCCTTATGCCTCCCCTATCCAACAATTCCGAGACATCCTATATCATCATCGAGAAAAATGAAAAAAAAAGTTAATATGTTACGATCAAAAGAAAATAATACAAACGATTCTGTCATTTCAGTAGTGAAAATAATGTATTTAAAGATGAAAAATTATCTAAATAGTTTATTAATTTGTATTATCAGTTTTTGAATTGTATAATAGCATAAAGATTATCCTGTACATTGCATTAACAACACAAGCACTATTGTTTTAAAGAAAAAATTGTACGTTTATGATTATTATACGAAGATAAAAAGAAAGGAAAAATAAATAAGGTATACAAAAAACAAAATGATCAGATGATGAATGAGTATAATAAATTTTATTGTTAATATTCAATAAAATTATTAATTTCAGTCAGACGAGTTTCGTTCACTTTTATTTCTTTCTTGCATTATATCTTTCAATTAAACTTCTCGATTATTTGGGTAAGTGTGGATAATTTTCGTTTAAATGAAAAGGATATCATTAATTTTAATACTTTCAGTTATTGTAATCAACTGTCGATAAGATTATTCATCTCCGAGCGTCCAGAAATCTTCATAATAAGTAAAAGGTAATATTCTTCACGTTTAGACCGCTTGAAGATTAATTTTACTTTCTTCATTGTCTCTTATCGAAAAAATATCACCGGTCGGTATTTTACCGTACTCAGGGAAAAAGGAATTGAGATGAAAAAGAAGTTAATGAATAATTGCAATTAATTACCGATTTAGTAAGAGGTTTTTCAAAATATCTCGTCAATGTACTGTAAAAAATCAAGAATGTAAATTTCACGTAATGACAGCATGCATTTAACCTGGAATTAAATATATTAATAATAATTAATAAATGTTTCAACCGTTTACTTAAAAGCGATGTTTGCATCGAAAACCAATGAATCGTAATCCTTTTTGTAGGATTTAATCAATCTATGGAAATTAAATTTCAATTAGCTTCGCGGTCTGCCGGTGACAACAGGAGCAAATGCTGAGGTTTAAAAATATTAAATAATAGGGGGATAAACTTGGAAATATTCAGAAATTGAACAATTATTCTTAGGGTAAATATTAAGATAACATAACACTTACCATTCGTAGTAGTTAATGAATTATTGAATTATCGTTTGATAATGTACAATTCATTAATTATAATTCAATAATTCAGTAAATTGTAAAGACAATTTCTGAACATTATTCAGATAATTGCTGCTGTCCAATATTCATTACTGTTTGAAAAATGAAAGGATAAATTATTCGTGCACATTGCGAGAAAAAATGTCATGATCCCCAACCAAGATAAATGAAACACCGAATTAATTAAAAAAAAACATAAGTTTCTCCTTTTTATTTCTTCAACCATTAGTGTTCATAATAAAAATGGCGTATTTCGTGGTAAAAATGATGACCACTGAAATCTTAAAAAAAATTGTCACCATAAATCTCAGAATTCAATAAACCGGGAAATTTTCTAAAAACCTTCAAGGGAATGCAATAATTATCTTCCATTCATTATTAAATTATATTACCTGTGCTTCATACTTAAAATAAATTCATTTAGCTGACCTCCTTCATCATTAATAATTAAGTTACTCTAGAGTTGGATGTTTATTACTTTTTCCTCATCATTTGGCAACTGACACATTTCAGCAGAATTTACTTAATATCATTGATCAATATCGTTGCTGATTTTTCCATATTTGTTCATCATGCTACATTCATCATTCTTCTTTATCAGTATCGTTATTAATTTAATAATAATTCGTATGTTTTTCTGTTATTTTCCATGTTTCTTCGTTTCTTTATCATTCACTGGCATATTACATCAACGATTATTGTATTCCGTTTTTTAGAATTTATAAAAATTCAGTTTTTATTTATACGAAAGTAAGAAAATACGAAACGACGCTAAGGAATTATTGTTGATAATAAAACATAAAGTATTACTTTAAATAATTAATAAGAGTCGAGGATAGGGGAGGGGAGGGCTTAATTTCTTCGGAGTGTGTTCGATATTTTACTCTCTGAGGGATTTTACGTAAGGGGGAGATCCGGAAGGAGGAGAGGGGGGGAGGTATTTGAATTTTCGTCGAGTTTTACAACAACTATGAATATTTAAGATAATTATTCGTACAGATGATTTTTTTGTTCACGGTTTCATCATGATGTATAGTCGGTCATGAGTTTTATCTGGTTTATCGTGTAAAAGGTGAGCTACGAGTGTACTTTTTCATTCCCTTTGTTTATTGATAAACAGTATGTCCGGTAACGGCAGTCCCATTATCCAGGGACTCAAAACCGCCGCTGTAAGAAAGTGAAGAGAACTCACTTTCCTCAGATTCTGGTATTTTATTATTAAAATTTGTTTTGCTTTGTTTTTTTATTTCGTTATTATGTAGGATGGGACAGGCGTATTTCCGCTTTCTGTGGCACTGTTTGTCCGCTGAGCATAATCGCTCAACTTGAGTTTGCAGTTTATAGTGCACGCGGCTTCCCTGAGATTAAGAAAAAATTAATGAATGAAATAAATAATGAGAATAATTAACATCGTGGGTTTCGAGGCTTCAAGGGTTATTTATTTAATAAAATTGAATTAGTAAAAAAAGAATTTTTAGGCAATTGAAAGGGGTATGCTTGAGATTGTGCTTCGGGTTTCAATTTCAAATACTGGTAAATTCTGCGGAACATTTGCTTGTTATGTTCCTTTTTTAGCAACTGCCAGAGATTTTCATTGAGGTTCATTTGAGGATTATTTGAATGCTTAAGAATTTTATTTACCAGAATTAAATAAGTCTTTCCGTTTGAATATTACTTTTTTCTCCCCCTACAAACATTCCTCTTGGCTTTTTCGGACGCACCTCGCTACTTTTCGTTTGAATTCTGTGTAACTTTCCCTCCACTCTTTCTGTAAATTCGAGAAAAAATAATGAATTAAAATCATGAAAATGTTTTTCACAATATAAAAAATATAAAAATACGAAAAATACGTCTCAATTTTTGCTTTAAAACAAAATCATTTCAAATCTTGCATTTTCATTTTTAAAAAAAGGCTCTTGGACCTTTTCTACTGTAATATACAACTTCGTTGTTAATACATGATTATTGAACTTGCATATTTGACTTATTTATGCTCACGACGTATTTATTAAATTCTTAAATGATAGAAAACTTACGGCGGCATCTACATTGGCAGGACTCTCGTCATTGGGATCAGCCAGCATACTTATAACACTGATGAGAATCGTCTCAACTGTATGAACTGGAAGCCACCTTTCCGATGCTTTCTCATAGCCCCATTTGTCATCTCCAGGCTCGTGCAGGATCGATATGCACACATCGCCGTTCTTCTCAACTGTAATTACAATCATAAAGAAAATTCTCTTCATTACAATTTTCGTAAGAATTTTGGACACCAATGAAAATTGCAAAAATCAGAACAATAACTCACTGTTTGGATGCCATATTTCTGTAATAAATTTCATCCTCGGTGGCCTGAGTGGATACTCTTTGGGAAACTGTAAATGAGCTTTGAAGAATCCTCCCTCACTGTTGATTAAAATCTTCAAATTAGAACATACTACAAACGGAAGAAGTGACCTGGCAAAATTATTTTTTCCGAAGAACTTACTATAGTGTATCCGGAGGTCCAATAATGAGGACTTCCCATCTATAAATGTCATTGTCGTCTACGAGGCCAGCTGAAAACCCTTCCACTGGGTTTTTATTCAGTTCTAAAACAGAAAGTTGTGAAAGTGTAAAAAAGCGTAAAAAGGTGACAAATACCTGAAAGCAAACGCAAAGAACAAGAAAATGTGAATAAACAGGTTGGAACCCCCAGACTTTTTCAATTCTTCCCTCTTTCCCAAGAACATGGCAGAATCTCATGTGCATCGAGCTGCAAAATGACTCACACATGAATAAGGTTAGGGATATCCACTAGTCATGGAACCAATCAAAAAGAAGGACCAGGAATTTATTCGATGCGCTGTGTCACTTTAAAAAGGCAGAAGTCAAATAAAACTGAGAAAACCAGCTAGGTTTTATCATATTCATCAAAATTGAGTCACATACTTCATTAGTAATTCTAATTCTCCTTTTTTTTCTCAAAATACCCAAGTCAAACAAAAGGACCCAAAATAAGAAAGCGATGCGGTCTCGAAAGTAGACAGATTGACCTTCGGGGCGTAACTTCGAATATACTCTCACGACACGAACATAATTTCAGTAGAATTTTTTTCTCTTTTGCTCTGCCATTTTCCATTTCTCTCAAATCAAAGTAAAAGTTTCGCATGTATAATATAAATTCTAAAAAACGTTAAAAAGGAGAAAAAAAATGGAGAATTCCTGCTTGTCAAGGTGTGTGGCGCAAATGCTAATAATAAATGGTCGTACATTATTTTTGGTCTGGTGAGAAGCTTCGTAGCCTCGTGCAATACACGATGATATCCATGAATTATATGTACCCACACAAGCATACATACACCCATAAGAAAATTTCTCCACACCCACGAGTCTCCATGGACAAATACCTAGTCCGAATTCTTCCTTCTCAATCCCCTCGGCCATAAAAAAATGAAACCCTGTGGGTTATCAAATATCAAACGTATAATGAAAAAAAATGTGCAAATGCTAGGTTAACATTTATTCATGGGGGACCCCACGTACGGAACGGGTTATTGATTTTTGCAGGCCGATCGGGGCGTACAGTGACTGAAGTATGAAACAAAAATTTTTTATTGAGAAAACGATGAAAAATCACTCATAAGATCCCTGCAACTGATACGTCAAAGAGTCGGGATTTAATTTTGGAAGGAAAGTTGATGATAATGTAAGCACTAATGGATGAGTTCGGACTCGGGTATTGTCCCTCGCTAGGGGCTAAAAATGGTCCCCTCTCGATTGTGAATCGCATATATGACACGATCATGACGAAAACACTACTTCAAACACGTTATTGATTAACATTATGAGTACCTGATAATTGTTTTCTTAGTAGAAGTGCGGACTGTGGCTCTGACATTAATATAAAGTTGATTTAAATAAGACTAAAATTGAAAAACAATCACTTTTGGGTTGACTTGGAAAGATGGCTAGGTACGTCACGGAAGCCTTCAGTGAGCATGCGCAGCATTTTTGTTAAAACATATGTTCTTCCGTTGGTTGATTTTCTCAAGACGATACTAGCGCCAATCGTCAATAATCATGGCATTTTCGTACTAACTTTTTCGATTTTAACAGTCGGTAAAAATCAGGTTGTACTGACAATTTTATTACTGTTTTGCCTCTCTCGTATTTTTCACTTCATTCGTTTAAATGTGGCGGAAATCGACAGAGGTTCTGGATGTATCAATGTATCTTCGGTTAATAAAAATAAATGTGTAAATCTACTTTACGGTTATGTTTTTTTGTTTACTTTTGACGACTGACGTGTCTCTGGCAACTTGTCATCAGCGTTTTTAATTGTTTCAATGTATTGGATAGATAGTACATAATAGATAAGTGTTTGAAATAATTTGTTGTGAAAAAATGGTTAGAATAACATTTTTGCATCCCGATTTGGGAATCGGGGGTGCGGAGAGACTCGTCGTTGATGCCGCTGTTGCTCTTAAAAAACGAGGGCACGAGGTTAATTTTGTTACGAGTTTTTACGATTCTGGTAGATGTTTTTCGGAGACTAAGGATGGAAGCATTCCCGTCCATGTCGTTGGTGACTGGATTCCCCGGCACATTTTTGGAAGGTTCTTCGCTCTATGTGCTTACATTCGTATGGTAAAT